GCACGAGGCGCATCAATCAGCTATCAAAGTCCGCAGGATAGTGGGATATGAATATACCTCGTTGGCTTCGCGGTAACGTTCCTGGAGATGTTTGTGCTCGGATGCAAGCTGAGAGCGTTCGTGTCGGAGCTGCTCGATTGTATCGGCGTTCTCATTACTCCTAGCCTCAAGCAACCTAGCCTTCTTTTCCGCCACATCATTCACTACCACGCAGAAAAGAACAACGCGTCAGCCCGTCAAAATAAAATAAAAAAACGGATGAAAAACGTACTGCGAAGCTCGCTCTCCAACTCGTTGTTATTCAACTTGAGCCGTTGAAGCTCGTTCTTGACGTCCACGATCTCGGACTCGGTACGTTTGAGTTTCATCAGCACGCTCTCGCGATCGCGTTCTGCGCGGGATTGTTCGGTCGTTAATGTGCGCATCCGAGTGCGTTGGGCTTTGAGTTCGTTTTCGAGTTCAGCTATGGTCCGCTTCGCTTCGTCGAGCTCCTGCAAGTCGTCTATTAGAAGTGCATCTAACGAAGAAAGAATGATGAGAGGCGTACCCGATCTCCAGCACGCTCCATATCGCCCACCCTCCGCTCGGCTTCGCGTACTTGAGAGTCGAGCTTGCTGGCGGCATCTTGAAGAACGGCCTTGTCGCCTAACAACTGACGCTTCTCCTCGAGCCATTGCTTCTTCATCAACGTCAGCTCCTTATTGACATTGCGTAGTTCGGCCTTGAGCGTTTCCGAGGATTTGCTGGGTTGCTCCGAGACCATCGAGAACATCGAGGCGTCGATCGAGCTGCGTTGTAACCGTAAGGATAAGTTTCGCCAAAGGGAAGGATGGAATTGTTCACCTCTCGTCAGCGTCCAAAGCCCCTCCCAAACCCCTAACATCCACTTTCGTCTTACACTTTGCACACTTGACTCTCTCAAGCCTCTTCATCCTCCTCTCCTCTCTCCTCTCCAACCTAGCCATATCATCCTCCAACGCCGCACTCCTCTGTCTCTCCTCCTCCAACTGCTGAGTGAGCTCTACGGCTCCGAACCGAACATCGTTCAGCTTGTCCAGTTTCGAATCGATCTCTTCGTTCGCTTTGTCAAGTTCGGACTGTAAGCGTTTGATTTCGGACATGTAAGGCGAGATCGAGGCGTCGGATGTTGAAGGGTGTAACCAGGACATCTATATGCGCCAAAAGCTCGCGTTTAGCAAAAACGCTTCCTTAGACTTTGAAATGAAAGGATACGTACGTCTCGTAGCGGAGCACCCGGCGTCCTCGGCGCATGCATAGTCATATTAAGCACAGCCCTATGCATCGGCGAAATCGTAACATTTCCCAACATCCCTCCCATCTTCCCCGGCGTCCCCATACCCAACTTCGCATAACTCTTCACTCTCTCCCCAAGCTCGTCCCTCTCCCTCTCCAACATCTCTATCCTAGCTTCTCTAGCTTTCTCCAACGCTTCTCTAGCAGGCGATTGGGAGAGTTGAGCTTCGAGCTGGCCTATGCGACGGTAGGCTTCGTCTAATTCTGCCTCGAGCTCTGCGAGTTCTTCTGGTGAGGATTGAGGGTTGACGTTAACGGAATGGGAAAGATCGATACGCGAACGTTCGCGTTCGAGATGTGAGATCTTGCGTTGAAGCTCATGTAAAGCCGCCTCGTCCTCCCTCCCTTTCTTCTCAGCAACATCCAACGCGTCCTCCATCTGTCGTGCAAGCTCCGCGTTCCTCTCGCTCTCCTCCTGTACCCTCGCCATATCCCGGTCCATCTGTTCCTTCTCAATGTCCAACGCAGCAAGCTGTTCCCTCTCGTCCGCAAGCTCAGCTTCAAGTGCTTCGACACGATCGACGACGGCGTTACCCTCGGCTTCGAGCTCGGCGATGTATTCTCTAGCCTCTGCGAGCTCTTGTTCGAGCTGTTGCAAAGCCGTCTCGCGTGAACCGACGTGATGTTCCATCGAGCTCAGATTGGCCTCACGAGCGTCGAGCTCCTCCTGTAGCTTGCGGGTATTATCGCGTTCATCTTGCGCGCGGGTTTGTGCATCTTCGAGTTGATCGGTTAAGCGCTCGAGCTCGGATTCGAGGTCGGCCACTTGTGACTGGGCAGCGCGGGTTTCGGAGTGTGCGGTGGCGAGACGTTCGTTGACTTCGTGGAGCTCGCCACCCAAGTCCTGTCGGCTGGCTAACATCTCTTCGGCCCGTTCCGCGCGATCATGTTCGAAAGCCCTCGCGTCCCTCTCCTCCTTCAACTCCCTCTCCATCTCTCGAATACGCTCAGCGTACTGCGCAGCCTCGGCCGCACGAGCTTCAGCCTTCTCCACTTTCGACTCCAATTCGTGAATGATTCCTTGAACTCCGCGTTCGACTTCCCCCATCCTCTCCCTAAACTTCTCCTTATCCGCCGTCCTCCCAGCCTGCTCCTCTTCCAAATCCCTCGCAGCTTGCTCATAAGCCGTATTAAGCCGTTCGGCATCCGACCTTGCGTTCTCCAGTTCTTCTTCGAGTTGTATCTTCTCTTCCATCCATCCTTCACCTCCTACGTCTTCTTGTACGCCTTGCAAAGAAGTCGCAATATCACTAACTCTTCCACCTCTCCCTCCACCGCTCCCTCTGCGTCCCGCCCGTCTAGCTTCTTCAAGCTCCATAGCCAAAACAGCGTTCTCCTCAGCCAACTCCAAAGTCTCACCCTTCAACATCTCAACCTGCCCAGCAAGACTCTCGCTCTCCTCTTGTAACCTCCTATTCAACCCATGTAAATAAGCGTTCAATTTCGCAGCGTCGAATCTTCCTAAGCCTAGGCCGCCGGTACCGGTTGCGGGATCGTAAGAGGCGTTTGCGCGGGCGTGGATTGCTAGGTCGTGGGAGGAGGCTGTTGAGGCGAAGCTAGGGCGTTCGTTGTAGTCTGCTTCGGAATTGTTGTCGTCGGCACCGGCGTCGGAGGGTTCGGGGGCCCAGGTGCGTGTGAGGGGATGTGAGAGACGGCCGGCACCACGACGGACGCGTGGGCGGGGTCCAGGTGTAAGGCCTACAAAGGCGCTAGGTAGACGGCCTGTAGGAGCTTGTGTAACGTCCCCGTCCCCTTCTTCCGGCTCGACGCTCTGCGCTCGTCCACCGCTACCGAGGCTACCCGATGACTGCGACTGCCCACTGCCCGGGCTCTGAGACGTTTGCTGGCTATGCGATTGTCTACCACCACCGCTACCACCGCTCTCGAGCTCCGGTTCTTCAGATATAGCGCGAGGCAAAGGCGTATCCATTACCCCATGCCTCGGATGCGGAGTCGGCTGAGCGAACCGCGGACGGGCGGTAGAATTAATAACGTCCATCAAGAAACTCCTTCTCCTAGCGAACGGCGTCGTGAAATCATCCTCCAACCCATGTCCAGGTCCTACACGAGGCGTCTCCGGGATCGCTGCAGGTGTAGTGGACGTGATATTGCCGAAACGAGCGCGAGGACGAGGTTGAATGGCTGCTGGCGTGGGAGTGTACAGTGTTGATGGTGTGGCTGAGGAACCGGGTGCGGGTGAGGCTGCGAGAGCTGAGCGGAGGGAGAGGGCGGATTGGGGAGTGGCGGGTTCTTCGGATGAGAAGGTCGGTTCGCGAAGACTTTGACGGTTAGATTGAGATTGGGCGTGATGCGTTTCATCTTCGGCGGGAGAACCTGAGGAAGCTTCGCTGGTCGATCTATTCCATCTCACATTGGCCGGAGAGGGTTCTTGGGAGGGCGGTAAGGGCACTGTGCTGGGCGAGTCGAAGCGGAGAGTGGGCGCGGCGGGCAGATCCTGCGAGATTGTGCTGCGGGGCGTGGAGTTTGCCGGGGAAGAGTTTGTGGGCGAGGGCGTTGTGCGGGAGAGGGAGGGCGTGCGGAGTGGAGGCAGTGGTTTGCGCGCGGTGATGTGCCGCATCTTGTCCAGCGGTGACATCTATTATTCATGAGGCATTTCACATTAGACATTACGATATCGTACGCTACCTTTACTGAGGGACTGAGCCCGATACCCGTATACTCCCGTTTCTTGGACTGGGGCGTATCGATCCCACGAGCCGAGCTCGTCCGACTCAAATCCCTCAACGCGTCCGACAAACTCAACTCATCCCCAACGCTATCGCCCTCTCCACCACTAAACCCTCCCGAACCAGAACCCGACTCAGACAAATCCCTTCCACTACCACCACCAAATCGCGGTCTGGCAGCGATAGGACTGACATCGTTGAACGTCAAATCGTTCGGTGTCGATCGGCGTAAAGACTGAGATTGACTAGATAGCTGCGATCGACTCGTCCTGCTCGCGAGGGAATGAGCGAATCGAGCCGTACTGCACGCGCTACTTTGTAACGCGCCTAGACGCGCGGTGTTCTGTGCTGAGGAGGGTGCAGGTGTAGATTGTAAAGGTTCGTCGTCGGAGAGTATACGGCTAGCCTCGCTCGTAGAGGGCTCTTCGTCTTCTTCGCCGGATTCTTCGTCGAATGCGGGGAGAGAGGGTAGGGAGGGCATGTCCATTCCTGCTTGAGCGTCGAAGCGGCGCATGATGCGCGAGGGCGTTTCGAGGAAGGCCATGGTGGGTGGGAGGCGGACAAGAACAAGCGCCGAAACTGTTGGTGGCCACATTCCAATGCCATCTCAACAACACGTGAGTTGCGCGGTCACGTCTTGTCTTGTTGCGGACGCGTCAGTGGCGAAGCGACTCTCACTGCAACCACCACCTTCCTACCTCCGTCCCACCTCATCTCGCAGAAAAGTTTTTCGTTCCTGCGGATGCTCACCGGGTCATTTTGGCAATGCCACGGAAGAGACCGGTGCACGACCATTTGCCCGACGCACGGTCTTTGCCTCGATCAGAGTCCACGATCCTTTTTTCCAGTCACAGTCCCGCACAGAGGCGTCTACCTCACGTCGAAATAACCTCTCATCGCTTATATGTTACGGCTGGCATTACCTGAGCACAATCGTGATAGGTATCTGCCGCTGGAGCACGACGCGATCTTCGCAAACATTACTCTCCGCCCTTCATCGCCCGCCTAGCTCAATCGGATAGAGCGTCAGACTCTTACCAGGCGGGTCCAATTCTCAAATGGAGATCATCTGAAGGCTGCGAGTTCGACCCTCGCGGTGGGCTAATACATACTTTTGCATCCGCTCGACAGAGAGGATCGTTCACGACAATTTTTTCGAGCGGCCCGTTTTCGTCGGGATGCCGTGATCGACCTCGGAGGTCCCGGTTTGCGTGTTGTATTCTATGTTGCGCGTACCTATCATGATACACAGCTATCCACTATGGACTGGAATCGAAGATCAGTATGTGATGAAGATACGACCGGTACTGTTTGGATTGACCGTGAGTCTGAAGCCCTGGGAGTCCGAGCCACCGCCGCGGCCCGCACGCAACCCTATCAAGTGATGCCTCTGAGTTCGATATCAAAGAGGTTGTTTACGAGAATAGTAGGCTTAATCACGATCTCCAAAAGAACATGCATCAAGCAAGTGCCATACCCATTCCTTTGCATTGCCTCGAAGCGAACCCGTTATTACTTTTGAAGTTAGATATGAAGTTAGATATAATGTAGAGGACAACGCCTCATGCATCATGGCCCGCCTAGCTCAATCGGATAGAGCGTCAGACTCTTATCAGGCGGGTTTGTCTCACTGAAGACATCTGAAGGCTGCGAGTTCGACCCTCGCGGTGGGCTACTAGATACGTTTGCGCCTCGTTTTTCTTGGCATACTTCCGTCCATTTTGGATGGTCTGCACTCTGAACAACTGTTGTGAGACGTCCAAAGATGCCTTCGAAAGTTGACTACATGTGGGGCTGATCTGACCGACCACGGACGGCCGCTCGTCAGACCGGGACGCGTTGCGAGTGCCATTGCCCTTCTCAGCCACCATGTGCCTTCCCTTAAATGCCCCTATAAATCATGCCTATCTGGGAACAAGCAACGTCGTTCGCACCTCGCACGACCGGCCGGCGAGGCGTTCTTGCTTTATGACAAGCTGAAGTGCCTGGCCTAAGAGGCGTCAGTATGTGAATTCCGACGGTACGCCGAGATCTTATTGATATCAATTCATTCTATGCACGACCCTAGGTACGTGTCGGTACGAAAACACGCTTTGTGCACGAGTATATCGACGTACAGAACGCTGTGCCCAAAAGATAGTGTAGAGTCGAGCAACTGGACGATGTTGTTTGAGGGCGTCTGACGACTAGGGGCGTGATGAAGATGCCGCCACGGTACGCTCCAGAGTCAAGTATACCACGCACATGATCACCTAGTGTCAGCGCGAGAGTCTTGAGAGCAAGCGCGCGATCCTCGTCGCTGAGATTGAAGCCAAGGCCGAGCTTAGACCCACTGGCAGACCGAGAGGTGCAGGTGTCAAGTCACGATTGTTGACAACGAAGCTGGCGCTGAGCCACATGCCTCAGGCCTTAGGAGCCGTACTCGTAGGGTCGGTACGCCCAGAGACCGACATCCTACTCGGGAAGTTGATCAGGAGTTAGACCCAAACGGAAATAACTTACCGTACAGCGGACTCTTGAACCATTGCCCTCAATCGTTTCCCGCTTCCCTTCTCTATAAGAAGCTCATGATCTCCGATGATGCGAAGATCGCGCGAAGCATATGCTGGCCGTAGATGCTGGCTTCACGGAGGTCATGGTCGTAGGAACTAGGAAGAGAGCTTTGACGCGTGTCACGTTCAACACGCGGCGCCAATGCGCTCCGAGTCTACTCAGCATCAACCACCATCAACTTCTTCGGCCAGGCCACAATATCATCCACGCATCTGCTCCCACAGCAGAACATCTATCTGCGCTGATTCCTATGTTGTACAAACGTACATGTCTCGCATTCAATCGCCTGCAGGCACGAGATGGGTGTGAAACTCGAATCGGAGGAGGGCGTATATAACTTGCCCACCGGCGAGTTATGTTTTCGAACATGCGAACATGTCGGTCGATCCCACTTTCCCCCTGTTTCCAATGGTGTGCATTATGGGCGCGGTTATGATGGTCCTTACGTTGTCGACCAGCCTCGTACGACAAAGATGGAATCTGGGCGTGACGTTTCTCTGCTTTTGGCTTATGCTTGAGCTCGCTATGGGCTCTGCTTCTCTCATCATCTGGTCAGACAACGGTGACATCAAGTATTATGCATTCTGTGATATCTGTGCGCAAGTCTCAACTTTCATGAACCTCATGCTTACACCCTGCATTACAGTCACCCGTGTACAAATGTTGTCGAGCATCGTAAAGCCGGTGGCAACATTCCTCATATCACGCCGCCTGTACCTGATCATCAATCTTCGGTCTATGGCCATGCCCAGTCCTCGTGAAGTATGCCATATTCTATCCCTTGGTCACGCTCGAGTTGACGGCCATATTATCTAGAGACGACTAGATATGCTCTTCGAATGGACACTTGGCTTGATCTTCCCTGTCATAGTTGCTGGACCTTTGTGTGCGTCTTTATTGATGATACTATCAAGATGTCACATACCAACACCTTCTTAGACTACATCGTCCAGCAATCCCGGTTCAGAGTGTATGAAGGCTTTGGTTGCACGGGGACCGGAAGTGGCGTACTCGGCCTGCTGCTTCTCGGTGTTTGGACCGTTGTTTTTCCTCTTCTGTCCGTCATGGTATACTACCGTGAGTCATTGAAACTCGCTGTGAGTTCACTTTGTCTAATGGAATTCACCACAGCCGCGGTGTTTAGGTCCTTCTACCGACAAAGTCGAGCCATCAACGAGTTCTTGCAAAGCAATGGCTCCATCTCACACACAAACTATCAGCGCATTCTTATCATCGCCAGCATCGATATTATCTTGACATTGCCGCTGGGCATTGTCAACTTCGCTCTGAATGCTTTACCCGCGAACACCCAGGGATTCTACCCTGGATGGTCTTACGTGCACACCGACTGGGAACCTGTATCTATCAGCTATGCACAAATCCGAGAAAGTGGGACGGCGAATGTCGCGTGGCTTTACCTACTTCCTTGGGTATCACCCATCCTCGCGATCGCCATTTTCGGCCTTTTTGGGTGCACACTCGAGGCCCGCGCGACTTACTGGCGCATTCTCTGCAAAGTGACTGGATGGTTCGGATGGACGCCTACCCCGCGTCGTCGCGGATCACACCCGTCATTGGGCGGCCCCATCGCGTTTCGCGAGCCTTCGCACGGCATCTCCGTGGGTACAATTGGGTGTGTACATGTTTCGTTCGCAATTACTCGCCATTGCTGAGTTCTCGGCATTCTGCGTAGGTCACATCCAAGCTTCATCAACCCGCCCTTGAAAGCTCAGAGACAGCGCGAGGAGAACAACGAGCTTGCGGCCACTGCGCATGACGAGGTAGAGAAGGCCGAGACCACGGAGGAATGCGCTTCTGGGAGCATTGTGTGCGTGCCGAGTTTCAACCGCTGTAAACATGAATCTAACGCTCAGACTGCACAGAGATGATGAACCGGGACTGCATGCCAAGGAAACAGGAAGCTCTGCAGCGCAGTCTTTAGTTTAGCCAGTCCACCAAGTACGTTGAAGGATGGTCCTGAGTCCTCGAAAACGCGGTTGGGGCTTCATGAACGCAATTGGCAGGCCGGACCTCTGTCACCTTCTCACCACCGTTTCGTCGTATACTCTCCCTTTCTTCTCTCTGGCGTCTGCTGCTCGCCTTTCCAGCCCCTTGCGCTCTCGTTTGTTCTATAATCAGTTGATCGTGTCTCCTCGTTTGTTACTGCGATGCAATCAGTTATCAGTTTCGCTGCATTCGAATCGTGCCGACCTTGCCTTTCAGATATTCGACCGCACCCATTTATCGTTCGTAAAAGCTAGTATTTTCTTGCGTCTCATTAGACGGGAGAAGAAGACGAGTATCTTGAGATCCGGTCTCGTACCAGCTCTCGCTCGTTCAACTCCAACGAGCTGAGTATCTAAGTGACTGTAGAATATAAGCTAATGTACACTGTCCCATGATCCTACTATAATCAAATCATACAAGTGAGATCGTAATGAAAATCCTTGCACGAGTTAGGATGTGGTCGCATGGCTTGAGGGAGCCGTGCCACAACTGTGCTCAAGTTCCTCTTCCTCCTTCCTCAACCTGTTCATAGTAGCGTCAAGCACCCTTCTTCTCCGCTCTTCGACCGATTCATTTACTGAAGGAGCAGCGCCTGAGCCGCCTAGGACATATGCGCGAGCTTCGGCTTCGAGCTCTGATTGAGCGCCATGATATCCGCCTGTGTCGCCGAGTATGTGCGTGTTCTGCTCGTATTCAGCTACTTCACGATTAAGGCGCGAGTTCAGCTCTTTGAACTGAGTGAAAGGCTATAAGTACGTGAGAAGATAAGGAGACTGAGAGATCACGCACGTTATCATCGTGATCGCCCCAGACATTGTGCGTGAGCTCGTGGCATAAAACGCGTCGGACCTCCTTGTAACTTCGAAAGCCGTCGTAACGGTCGGTTCGTAGTCTTAACTTTATAGCTTGACCAGCATTCATGTTTAGCCCTGTAGTAGATTAGTACACTGGCGCATGGGATATTGGCATGCACTGTTCATACCGAGGAGATGCGGCTGTTCGTGTGGTGCCAGCTCCGTCAAGAGCCCGACTGCGAACTTGTGTGTCTGCATAATATGCTGAATGGCAGGGTCCGTTGATAAACGCCGTAAAAGGGATAAAGCCGTATCGGGTTCGGGAAGATGTTTGAGCGGCTCCAGTCGATGGAAGACGTAGTTGCTTGACGCTGAGGGACCAGATGAGCGGACCTATACGACATTTGATTAGCCATATCCTTCCGCATATAACCGCCGCACAAACCTTTGGCGTCCCCTGTGCCGCGCGCTTCTGCATGATCCTCTCCCTCCTCTTCTGCTCGTCCTCGGCCTTCTGCATTCCTCCAAGCTCATCCTTGGTAGGGCCCAACAACGTGACCTTTGTCCCATCTACCAGTCCAGCGTCTCGCAGTGTCACATCTCCGTCATGCGACGCTTTCTTGCCCTTGTACAGGAGCTTCTGATTCTCGGACGGTACGCCGAACTGGTTCTCGAGCTGAGTGCGGAGGTCAGAAAGTGTGCCGTCGTCGGCAGCCAAGATCTCGTGCGCGGTTCCGCGGTAGGTGATG